TAAACCAGCATTTTTTTAAATAAAAATATAGCGTGCATCATTATTACAAGCACTAAAAAGGTGTAACCCATGTATAAATATCTACCATAAAGCAGGATATCAATAAGATTTTAAAATCATTCATAGATTGCAAAGAATGACCCGTTGTCAATAAATCCCAGATCTGGAACCATCTATCTTTAACTCTATCGAAATCGGCTTCCACCCCCTTAAAAGCTCTTCTATTTCTTTTTTTCCACACAACCCAAAAAATAACAAGGGGAATGAGACCTACTTGTTTCTTCCTACCTCTAATGCCCTTCCAAGCCCAAATCTCATCCCTTATATAACTTGTCATTATTAACTGATTCCCAATAACCCAAACCCTATGGTCCATTATTTTTACACCAATGGATACCACAACAAGATATGATTGCAAGACTCCTCCATACCCTTTCATAGGAAACAACCATTCACTATAATTTTTCCTCTTTTCATTAGCTTGTAAATAGGGAGAATACATCTCCTCAATGCCTCCCAAAGAAAAAAAAAATTCTAGGGTGAGCACTCATTTGCCCAAGTTGCTTGTACGGAAAGCTAACCTCAGTGGAATAATTCTTAACCAAGTAGTTGTAAAAAGACTTAACCATGTATGTATAAGCAGCCTGAGGTTCCAAACTGGTTAATCATTGTTATCATTCAGATAGACTGTGGATATTGAGCTGAAAAGGGATTCATACTTATCAATCTCCTAATCATTGAGGCTTCTCATCAACTCCACATGTCATTCCTGGGCTCCCAGGTGTTTCTAAATGACTCACTGATCATGATGTTCTTGTTTCATACAATATAAAAATCTAGGGGAATTGATCTCTAAGCATTCCATCTCTAAATCAGGGACGTCCAGAAACTGATTTTTTTCCCATTGCCAACCCTCTATTTGATGTATCCACGAATTATCTCTTCCAATACAAATTCTTTTCCACATTCCTTTCCCATGTGGCCTTGATGAAATTCTGGAATACCATCCTCTATCCAGAGTACCAAACTTCGCCTTGATTATTCTTCACCAAGAAGTACAATGGTCTTGCATGAACCGCCAAAGTCACTTATCCTGGAGTGCCTTGGTCATATCCATGAAAGATCTCAACCCCAAACCACCATGATGCAACAGTTTTCTAGTCTCATCCTATCCACTAGATGATATCTCCTTCTATCCTTTGAGTCACTCCACAAGAATCTGCATTGAATGAATTCTAATCTGTTTGCAATACTCATTGGGATTGTCAAAAAGATACATGTAACAAATGGGAAGGTTATTCAATGTGCTTTTGATTAGAGTAAACTGCCCATCTTCAGATAGAAGATTTCTCTTCCATCCCCCTAACCTCCTCTCAAACCTTGCTGTGACTGAGTTCCACATTCTCACATCTTTATAATTAATCTCCAAGAACAAACCCAAATACTTGATTGACAACTAAACCTTTTTGTACTCAAGACATTTTGTCAATTTAGTAGAATCACTCCACCACCCAATCTCACCAATTCAGAGTTAGTCAAATTAATATTGAGACCAAAGACTGGTTTAAAGCACAACATGATACATCTAAGATTGAGTAGCACCCCTTCAACTTTTAACTAAAACCATATTTAAGCATTTGATTCAAACTTCTACTTTTTCATAATAAAAGCACAAACAGATCTTGACCAAACGGGATCCGTCTCTAAATACCATAATGCTTTTCAAACATGAGTAGTAGACCATAGAAAATTGATTAAAGATTCTTGGATTTCAGTAACTAGACTTTAAATGTTTTAGAAAAGAATATGCATATGTTAAGAAGCTTTTGTTTTCAGTACGCACAAAAGTGTCTTGCTGTGTAACATGCTTATTT